AACAACATTGTTTGTGATCCATTGAAAATAAATAAACTATAATACAGTAATAAATAAATAAAATAAACAGATTGGACTGGAATCCCATTCCTGCCCACTCCGGGGAACACCATTCCTGCCCATTCCGGGGAAGACCATTCCGGGGAACATTCCGGTGTACATTCCGGAATCCACCGGAATTCCACCGGAATGGAAAACACTGGAATAAACAATTTAGCAGGGCCTTCTGCTAAATTCCATTCCACCGGAATCCACCGGAATTCCACCGGAATGACCGGATTCCTGCAGGAATAGGGGGGGCACTGCTAAGACCTCATATTTATCAAGAGCCCCATCCGGAAATCAGCCAACCTCTTCGATGACCTGCTCGCTTGCTCCAGTTCCGCACCTCTCAACAATGAACTTTGTAGTGAGCTTGCAGAATACCTAAGCACTGAACCAGAAAACGTCAAAGACCCACTTATCTGGTGGGTCGAAATGTGTGCCGTCTACCCCCGCTTATCACGAATGGCACGTAATTATCTGTCTATCCCTGGTACGTCAATCCCTCATTCACATATATGCCAATCATGATAACACTCTGTTTCATTACCAGCCACCTCCACAGATGTCGAACACGTCTTCAGCAAAGGGTGTCTTGTCCTTTCGCACGTTCGTAACCGACTCACTGTTGCATCAACATGTGCGTTGATGTGCCTCAGCACCTGGAGCAAGTTGAATCTTGTACACAATGCTGACATTAAAGCGGCAGCAGTTCTTCCGGACATTGTAGGAGACGAGGATGAGCTTGAGCTTGGTTGGGATTACATATCGTATGATTAGATTCCTCTTGCGTACGTGTTCTGTACAATTTTTATTGATTCGAAAATGTGGTCTTCATTAGTTGTCAACCCTTCTGTCCACCCTCAACGGGTTTCTGACCCCTCTGACCCCCGTAAAACCTGTACCCGTACCCCAGAACTACCCCAACCCATGTAGAGGGTAAGGGTGGAGGTGGGGTTGGGGTATAGGTCAACGCGAAATGACCCTGGGGTTACCCATGACCATCACTAATAAGCGGCTGTCAAGCATCTGGTCTCGCTTTTTTCCCTGATGGTTCCCCCCCTGCATACAGATCTGTGTGGGTTCTCACACGTTTCCCTTTGACTTTGGCCCCCATTATTGATGCGGTCTCTGTCCAGGAGTGTTGGTTTGGTGCCACCCACTTCTTCTGTGGTAGTAGAGACTTTGAGGGACCAAGAGAATCATTGACATTGTTGAGGTGTTCTCCAAGGTCCCGTAGTTCATCAGATATCTCTGCAGGGGGGTTAAAGAGAAGCTGATTTGCAAGTTCTTGAAGCTTTGAGGCGATTTGGCCAATCTCATTGGAGTTGTTGTCGTTTTTGAACTGTTTGTCGCTGATGATCTCCTCATCGCTGTCCTCGTCGACATGTTGAGCATAGCCAGAAAGTGATGTCGCTGAAACGAAGGTGATGGTTTTGGGGAAGTGAAGCTGCACAGCACTAATGTGCTTACAGAAGTTGACCAATGGGAATGAGAGGCAGTTGCAGCGGTATGAGACAAGATCAACGTCATAAGCAAAATTCTGAATTGATTGTGATTTCACACGAAATGCTGAGGGGTCTTCAGCTGTGCTGATATCAGATTTTTGAATCGTCTTTGCATGCTTGGCAATCTCAATGCGCCTTCGAAGTTCAAGGTCAGGTCCTTCAAACCCAAGGTGTTGATGATGGTGTCTTGCCCTGAAATAGGGAATTGCCTTCTCAACGAGAACATAGATTAAATGGTCGAGATGGTGATTCCACTTGCCCTCCATAAATTTACCTTTCAGTAAATGGTGCCAACTAAGAAAAAAATACGTTAGACCATCTCGTGGTGGAACAAAAAGAAAACTCACACTTCAACAAGCATATTTGTCTCGCAAATCTCAAAAATAGTTTGGTCTTGTCTGAATACTGCAGACCACAACCTAGTCTCATTGAGCCAATTAGTGCGGAGATATCCAGTGAGACTTTCTGGTGCGAGCTTTTGGATTTTCACCCAGCAATCGTCAAATTCTTCTTGTGTAGTCATACGCGGCCATTTCTTTAGTAGCGCCCATAAATCAGGGTAATGTGTCATCACGAAATGCTGGTGCCATGCATGCAAAACATGCCACCAACAAAGGAGAAGGTGCGACTTGGGGTATTGCCCCTGAATTGTGTTCATCTGACCTCGATCCTTATCAGACATGAATATTTTTGGTACAACATGTGAGTTCTGATGTCGAACCATCTTCAGAAAAAACTCAATTGTCTCTTCCTGTGCGTTGGAAGAAATCATCCAAGCAGCAGGCATTCCTGCTCATAAAAATAAGTCTAGCATTGTGGATTAAGAAAGTATTCAACGTACCATGACCCCACTTATCATGAATAAGCAGAGTAAATAGACTCATATTCTCGTAATGTGTTGTATTGTGAGTGGCATCCAAACCAGCAAAATGATGTCCATGGTTACACCAACACTCTCGTTGATATCTCGTTTGTATGATGAGGACGAAGATTTCTCCAGCTAAATTGGAACCAGGGGGGGGAGCACTTGAAGATGTTTTCAAGCTCACAAAATGCCCCTCAGCCTTTAGCTTTTCAGCCCATGCCACCACAGAGGGTCCATCTCCACCCGCCAAGTGAATGGTCTCCTCCTCGATGGACTTCTGGATCCTGTAAACATCACGAAATGTGGTCAATTGCTTTCGATTAACAGCTTCTTCAGATGGTGAGGACATATTTAGATTGGTTGATTCTTTATATGCCTCCTTTCTGTGAATGGTATTGAGCTAAATCAAGAACAGTTTCCTCATTTGAATTTGAATGCAATTTACACATGTTTACATACCACTTCTTTGACCTCCATCCCAGAATGAAGCAACCTCTCAATTTCTGTGTGTGCCGCATCTGGAAGACACGTGAAGCACGCGTTTTCTTGCCCAATCATGTGCATGTGCTCAGATTGATACACTCCAAGAACAACACTCATTCCTGGGTAGGTCTTTACAGTGAGTGCACTTGAGTGGCACACTGCGCGTCCTAGTGTTTGAAAGTCCGGTTCAGTCCAGTTTTTTGATGCCCAGGGGCGTTAACCGTAACCATAACCGGTCTGCCTTTTCCCCAGAAGTCAAAAGACCAGACCGGACCGCAAAAAGACCGCAGACCCCACAATACAGAAATTGCCATTTTTGTTATCACAGGTCAGCAAACAGTTTTGACAACACAAAACACACTTGTGAGGCAGCAAAGAAATAACTTGTATACCATCCCTTTACTGCTTCCAGGCAATGCATGCGGGCATACCTGCATAAAGCTGTGCTAAGAATCCATCATCCATCTTGGCCCATTCCTCACAGATCATGTTCCAAAGGGATGCTTTGCTTGTAGGTAGAGCTCCTCTGAATATGCCTGACATTTGAATGGAAAATGGATAACTGTCTCCATGATCATCAGCTGCTCTATACCCCAACACAACTCACATCTTCTGGTGTTTGACTTCTCAATGTGGAAAAGATAGTTGTTGAGTGATACATATTCTGTTCATAGTTGCATTAGCAGACTTGTTTGTGACCTCAAGAGTATGTTGTTGATCTTTGGGAACTTGCTGGATAAGTCTGTGTTGGCATGTTGAAATCTTGCATAGTGTAGTGAAACCTTTCACATTTAACCATTGAGCCTTCTGCACTCCTGTGAAAACTTATTGACTGCTGTACTACTAATTGGTAGGTGCTTCGAGGTCTTAGCAGTGCCCCCCCTATTCCTGCAGGAATCCGGTCATTCCGGTGGAATGGAATTTAGCAGAAGGCCCTGCTAAATTGTTTATTCTGGTGTTTTCCATTCCGGTGGAATTCCGGTGGATTCCGGAATGTACACCGGAATGTTCCCCGGAATGGTCTTCCCCGGAATGGGCAGGAATGGTGTTCCCCGGAGTGGGCAGGAATGGGATTCCAGTCCAATCTGTTTATTTTATTTATTTGTTACTGTATTATAGTTTATTTATTTTTAATGGATCACAAACAATGTTTGTTTGGTGAACATGCTCACCAAACATGGCCACCCTCTTCTTCCACCACCACCACCATGCTTGTCACCGCCGCCAACGCCACGCCATCACCGTCACCCATAGCCACCACCGCCAATGTCGCTCCTCGATCACTCATGGCCACCACGACCACCAACATGGACCACGACACCCTTCAACAACAACGCAGCGACGCCACGTCACGAAACAACGAGCGCCGTAACCCACGAAAACACCCAACGCCCACGAAAACAACGCCCCTGGACACAAAACAACACCCGACGGGCACAAAACGACGCCCACCGCCCATGTACACCGCCAGCGCACACGAAAACCATACCCCGCCCACGAAAACATCCCACCACCCACCGAAAAACACGAGCGCCCACCGAAAAACACGAGCGCCCACCGAAAAACACGCGCCGCCCACCGAAAAACACGCACCGCCCACACGACACACGACGGCACCACGCCGCCTACCAAAACCACCACGTCCACACCAACGCCACCCACGACGACGCCCCCAACGGCAACCAGCTCCCACGACGACGGCGTCGACAACGCCCACGAATAACGCAAAAACACGGACACACGACGAAAACGCGAACACGCGACGAGGAGGCGACAACAAAATGCGACACAACGATGGGACGCCAACGCGGGACGACGATGGCCGAGGTCCCAGCCACACTCTCCCCTCCACCATTCCCTCCCTCCCTTCCTCCTTCCCCCTTTCCTTGTCCCTCCCCCTTGCTCCCTTCCCCCTTGCTCCACCATTCCCTCCCCCCTTTCCTCCTTCCCCCCTTTCCTCCCTCCCCCTTCCTTGTCCCTCCCCCTTCCTTCCTTCCCTCTTTCTTGTCCTTCCCCCTTCCTCCCTCCCCTCCCTTGTTCTTCCCCCTTCCTTGTCCCTCCCAAAAATATAAATACACCCCCACCTTGTCCCTCCCCTACCCCCTCCCTTTAAGATAAACTGTGTAGTGTGTGTAGTAATACATTTCAAATACATCCCCACCTTGTCCCTCCCCCCTCCCTTTAAGATAAACTGTGTAATGTGTGTAGTAATACATTTCAAATACATTACAACTCAATCTATGACTTCTACATGTGAATTTTATAAGGAAATATGAGTGCCAAGTCATCAGGATAAGGTTGGAGTTGAAAAAAACTTAGGGTCTGTCCGGCAACGAGAATCCATTTTCATTCTCATTTTCATCTTCATTTGATGGCTGACAAATTGGGTCACACACCAAATTGGGCAACAACGATAACTGGGCTCCTTGCCCAACCCACATTCCGTTGTTATATTTTCTATGTACAACACAGTAAGTTTCTACTGTCAGCTATAGCATGTATTTCTTTTCAATTTTTATTTTGCAAAAATCATGCATATTTACTTTA